AGAGTTCTCAGTGTGCCCACCACACACTGAACAGTAAAGGTTTTGTTTCTCGGGGGTCCAAGGAACCCAGTAGTCCCACTACTCTGTAAGTTGCTCCCCATTTCCCAGTAGCATCTCCTGTAGCTTGGGCTTGCTGTGTGGGCAAGGATGACCTTGAGTTTTTGATCCTCCTGCCTCCACTTCTCAAGTGCTGAGATTACAGGCATGTGTCACCGTTCCAAGTTAATGATGCTGGGAATAGAACTCATGGCCTTGTGCATGCTAGGTGAATATTCTGCCCACTGAACTACATTCCCAGCCCAGCTTTTATGTTTTTAAATGGTAATGAGGAAAAAACAGCCTCTTAGCATCTTTTGGAGCATACTTGTTTGCTAATGGGGAGATGGGCTGCTTGCTAGCTGAGATACCAACTCTAATGACCAGAAAGTATTACAGTTATGATACTACTGTTTGACACTGTTTAATGTGAAACCATTGAATTTTCTTTTTCAGGACCTGATTATTCTAAGAAATGCATTTGACCTGCTTTTACCTAAGGTAAGATGTTGACAGTTTCCTGCCAGCTTCAGTGCCTCCTAATAGGAGTGGTCTGAAATTAGAAGTGAGTCCACACAGTGTCGGCACCTAAAGCTCATATTGTCAAGTCAGGGGCTTTGTATGTCGTCTGTGGAGCTGTCTCTTCTTGTGTTCAAACATAAGGTTACACGTCTTCAATCCCAACAGTGGGAAAGCAGAGGCCGGTGGATTTCAGAATTTAAGGCCAGCCTGGAAGAGTGCAAGTTGTCGCTTTTAAAGCATAGCCTTTTAAATGTCACAGGTGCAACCAGAGACGAGTTGCCGGAGTATATTGGGTCAGACCATCACTTGGTCCTGTTATTCTGCAATGGTCTTAAAATAGTTTGTGACATGTTAGGGAGTCGACTCAGTTTTCAAACGTTGATTCCTATGATCCTTGCCCAGGGCACTTCAAGATACAAAGGTGAAAGTTCACCAGTGTTGACTTCCCTAAGGTGTAGATGTAATTTCGTGTTAAATTTTGTGAACATTTAGCTGAAGCTACATAAAGAACTCCGTTGGATTCACCTTCTCCCCCACGTGATCTTTCTTGTAGCTTGCTAGAGTGATCTCGAGGCTTGCTGACTTTGCTAAGGAACGTGCTGATCTGCCCACCTTAGGTTTCACACATTTCCAGTAAGTGATAAGATAACTTTTGGGGAATTGAACTTACTGTGTGCGTGTCGAGGCCAGAATCTCAAAGCATAAGCAGATAACTTGGGACGCTGGTTAGAAATGTGCCCAAAGCCTTGCTTAGAAGCTTTTCTGGGGACTGGAGCTGTTGCCTAGTGGGAATGTGATTGTCTGGCTTGCTTGAACCCTTGAGTCCAACATCCAGCATGGCCAGAAAGAGTAGCTGAGCTACACTGAACATGCCTGGAGACACACAAGTGTCGTTCCAGCTACTTGATGGCCTGAGGTAGAAGGATAGCTTGAGCCCACAAATTCTAGGCCAGACTGGACCACATAGGAAGACCCATCTCAACAATGAGAAGCACACCTTTGTCATAATCTCTGTGTGTGTGTGTGTGTGTGTGTGTGTGTGTGTGTGTGTGTGTGTGTGTCCATGACACTGCATGTCATAATCTGTGTGTGTGTGTGTAGCCATGACACTGCATGTCATAATCTGTGTGTGTGTGTGTAGCCATGACACTGCACGTGTGGGGGTCAGAGGTTGACTTGTAAGAGTCAGTTCTTTCCTCCCATGATGTGGTCTAGGATTGGACTCGGGTCATCAGGCTGGGTAGTAGACACCTTACTAACTGAGCTACCTCATTGGCCCGAGAATTAGCAGTTTGTTTGTATTAAGAGCAAAGAATCATTCATGCTCTTTTTTCTTTCTTCCTTTCTTTCTTTCTTTTTTTTTAGTGTGTGTGTGTGTGTGTGTGTGTGTGTGTGTGTGTGTGTGTGTTTTGTCTGCATGTATGCATGTTTCTGTACAACTTGCATGTCTGATGCCCAGAGAGACCAGAAAAGGTCATCAGATCCCTTCAAGCTAGGGTTACAGATGGTTATGAACCACTTTGTCAAATGGAGCCCAGGTCCCCTGGGAGAGCAGCCAGTGCTTTAACCACTGACCCATCTCTCCAGCCCCTCACACTCCTTTTTATTGGTTTAAGAATCTAGCCCAGGGCAGTAATCCAGACTCAGGGAAAGCATTCTATCAAGACGTCATTTCTGATATCAGAGAAAAGAGTCTAAATGACTTGACTGACAAGAGAATAATAATTAAATAAGGTACAGTATGCCTAGAGAGTGGAGTAATATCAACTGTTAAAATGTTGTTCATAAGACAGTGTGAAGGCCCTGGTGGTGCACGCGTTTAATCCCAGCACTTGGGAGGCAGAGGCAGGCGGGTCTCTGTGAGTTCGAGGCCAGCCTCTTCTACAGAGCGAGTTCCAGGACAGCCAGGGCTACACAGAGAAACCCTGTCTCAAAAAACCAAAGAAAAAAAGACAGTGTGGATGTATGCTTAGGTTTATGTTATAGGGGGAAAAAGAGAACTTAAATAACACAGAGAGCAGGTATAGTGATGCATGGCTTTCATCCCAGCACTCGGGAGACAGGGCAGGTTTGGAATTAATGCGAGTTCTATGTAACAGGTTCAAGGCCAGCCAAGGATACACAAATCTTTTCTGAAAATAAAAGAAAAAAATTGTAGACAGATTATCATCATCATCATCATCATCATCATCATCATTATTGTTTGGTTACCCTGGTTTATGTCATAATAATTAAAAATTTTCTTCTTTGTCTGTGTGTGTGTTGACAAGAGCTTTTTCCTAGAGCTGTACTCCAAACCCTGTGGTTTCTGTTTTTCTCGTTATGTTTTGTTTATGACAGGTGTAGATGTGTTTATGACAGGTGTCACTGTGGAGCTCTGGCTAGCTTGAAACTCCTGTGTAGACCAGGCTAACTCAGACTTGAAGAGCTCTGCCTGCCTCTGCCTCCCAGTGATGACTGACAAGATTAAAGGTGTGCGCCACCGCACCCAACCCCAGCCCTGTAATTTTGATTTTTAGGGTATGTAAGCATTTTTACGGTTACTAAATACAGCCCTAAAAGCCTTGTATCATCTTTGGAATGCTAAACTATTTCCAGTCTATTTACAGTGTATGATAGTTAGCACCGTAATTTCAGGACATCTCCATCAGCAGTCACTTCTGCCACCTCTCCCCATCCTGGCAAGCACAGGCTGATTTTTGTCTGTAGATTTGCTTGTTTATCTCAGAGACTTCATCTAATTGGAATCATGTAAGGTATATAACCTGTGTAAAATGTATCTACTATTCATGGTGCAGCGTGTGTTTGGAATTCACTTCTTCTGTGGCTAGGCTGCATCCCATTCCACAGATTTGCCATTTTACAGCTGTCATGAATAGTGCCGTCACGACCGTGTCCGCACAGGTCAATCTGAGCGGAGTCAGCAAGGAAATATTGTTTAGGATGCCCTGGTGTGTCCTTTATACAGTGATGTGGCCAGATGTCGCTGGCTGTCTTCAGCATTTCTTGTTAACATCTGGAAATATAGCCATCAACCAAACATCCATTGTCCCTGACATTTGATTAAAATACCTCTAGGGGCTGTGGATTTAAGTCAGTAATTATGTCTGTTTAAGATGTATTAGGCTCTGGATTCCATCCCCAATACCTCAGGAAAAAAGCCTCTTTAAAAAATATTTTATTTATTTATTTGGTTTTTCGAGGCAGGGTTTCTCTGTAGCATTGGCTGTCCTAGAACTTGCTCTGTAGACCAGGCTGGCCTCGAACTTACAGAGTTCTGCCTGACTCTGCATCCCGAGTGCTGGGATTAAAGGCGTGCGCCACCACTGCCTGGTTGAAAAAACACATTCTTTTAATTTGTATTGGGGCGTATGGGTGGAGGTGAGAACAGTTTGTAGGAATGTGATTCTCTCCTTCCACCATGTGGGTCCCAGAGACCAAACCCAGGTTGTCAGACTTGACAGCACCTTTACCCACTGAGCCATCCTACCAGTCCCTCTTTTTGTTTAAAGATGCATGCTGCCCTCAGACCTTAGCCTCCTGAGTGCTGGGATTTCAGGTGTGCCCCACCCTACCAAGCTGTTACAAAGGTTCTCGGTAAAGAGCTCTGCTAGCAGCCTTTTATATTTAGTTTGTAGCAGCATTGGTGCCCTACACCCTTCTTTCTCTGGCTTTTAGCTATTGATTTGTCTTTACTAGTCCCTCCAGTTCTTACATGATTCCCTCTCCCGCCAGTAATGGCGGCTGTTAGGTGAAGGTAGGCCTCGATGTGGGACCCCTGTGTTCTCTTTGTACTCCATTCAGGCCTGCTCAGCTGACCACGGTTGGGAAACGCTGCTGCCTTTGGATTCAGGATCTCTGCGTGGACCTCCAGAACTTGAAGCGTGTCCGTGATGAGCTCCGCTTCCGGGGAGTGAAGGGCACCACTGGCACCCAGGCCAGCTTCCTACAGCTCTTTGAGGGGGATCACCAGAAGGTATTCTGAGGGACCAGCAAAATGGCTACTTGAGTCAGTTCCGGGGCCCACGTGGTGGGAGGACCAACTCCTGCAAGCTGTCCTGCGTCCATACTCGTGTCAGGGAGTCGGTGTTCATATACACACAGATAAAAATATTTAAAGACTATAATAAAGAAAAATACACTGCATTCATCTCTTAACGTACGCAGTACCCAAAAAAGTATTCTGAAAGTAACCTCACTGGTGCCAGCCCACAAGACAAGGCTGCCTCTGACTTCACAGGATTGATCTAGAATGTGTTGGCCCAAGACCCAGCAGGGTGACCAGATGAAGCATACTCAGACTACACACTTACGTTTCTTTTTCTTTCTTTTTTTTTAAAATTTATTAAATTTTATTTTATGTGCATTAGTTTGAGGGTGTTGGATCCGCTGGCACTGGAGTTACAGACAGTTGTGAGCCTCCATGTTGGTGCTGGGAATTTAACCACAGGAAGCCTGTGCCCCCCCGCCAGAGCTGAGGACCGAACCCAGGGCCTTGTGCTCTACCACTGAGCTAAATCCCCAACCCGCCTGTGCTCTTTTTATATTTGATTTTTCAAGAGGGTTTCTCTGGGTAGCCCTGGCTGTCCTGGAACTCACTCTGTAGATCAGGCTGGCCTCGAACCCACAGAGATCCGCCTGCCTCTGCCTCCCGAGTCCTGGGATTAAAGGCATGGACCACTGCCTGGCTTTTGAACACTACATTTCTAACAGGATTGTCTTGTCTTTCTCAAAGGTGGAGCAGCTGGACAAGATGGTGACAGAAAAGGCGGGGTTTAAGAGGTAGATACCTGGGGACTGTGCTGACTTCCTGTTAGTGACGGGCCTCTACATTCAACTATCTCTTTTCCTCTTCCTCCTCCTCCTCTGTGTGTGTGTGTGTGTGTGTGTGTGTTATTAGTGGTTGTGGCCGGTACCTGCAGAAGTCAGAACAGGGCTTTGGATCCCCTAGAACTGGAGTTAGGGATGGTTGTGAACCACCTTGTACGTACTTGGAATCAAATCCAGATCCTCTGTAGTGCAGCAAGTGCACTTACTGCCTGGATATCTCTCCCATCCCTTATTTATTTTTCAATTTTATGCATATGGGTGTTTTGTTTGTGTGTATGTCTGTGTAGCATGTGTATGCAGTGCCCCTGAGGCTAGAAGAGAGTGTCAGATCCCCTGGGACTTGGCATCACAGACAGTTGTGAACTGCCATGTGGGTGCTGGGTATCAAACCCAGGTCTTCTTTAAGAATAACAAATGAAGCTGGGCATGGGGTCCACACCTTTAATCCTAGTATTCAGGAAGCAGAGGCAGGCAGATCTCTGAGTTCCTGGACAGCCATGGCTACATAGTAAGATCCTATCTCAAAAAAAAA